CCCCCCCCCCTCAGCTTACTCCCCTATCTGTGGCAGACGTCCTGGTAGCGTGAGCGTTAGCATGGTAGCGTTAGCATGGTAGCGTTAGCATGGTAGCGTTAGCGTGCCGACGTGGGCACACCTCCCTGAAGAAGTGGGTGTATTTCCTGTGTCTCATTTGCATTTAAAGAGACAGGCACTCCAAAACGAGCGCTCTGAACGGGGCTGTTTTGGGTTAGGGTTAGGGTTAGGGTTAGGGTTAGGGTTAGGCAGGGGGACTGAACTGCTATTGGGCTTCCTCCTTATGGGATTTTGACCAAAGCTTGTCACAGACATTACATTAGGACACCAGGGAACTAGTTCAACTTGTTGAAATAGGGTATAATAATATGTCTCTTTTAAAGCTGAGAGGGGACAGAGTTTGGGTTCAGTATGTACAGTATTTACAGTATTTGGGATCTTTCTCATCTCATACCAGACCCTCCACCAGTCCCTAACCCCTGACCCCTGACCTTTGACCTCTCCCGCAGGCCACGAGTTCCCCTTCAGCATCAAGATGAGCCACATCCGGGACGGCGGCAGCAGCCCCGGTGGTGGACAGGGCGGGGGGGCGGCGGGCAGGGAGCTGGCCAGTCCCAGCGACTGCCCGGGGGTCCTGCTGCTGGACCAGTGTCTGCCCCCCGAAACCCAGTGCCAGTTCATCCTCAGACCCAACAAGGCCGTCCTCACCCCCCCTCAGCTCCTAGGTGAGACGCATTTCAAAGCCAAAGTCATTTTATCATGCAGGTGTACGCTTTCCCTTCCATTATTCGTTTTTCCTTTATGGATAGAAACGTTTCCTAATGGGGACATTATCTCTGAAAGAGTTGTTGGTGCCAGAATTGGGAACTCCAGGCAGAGATCGTAATACAAAAAACTTTAATATGAATCAAGACGCCCTCGCAGGGAGTGGAAGGGCAACGTACAAAATAATAATCACTCAAAAACGGGCAGACTGGACAAGTAAAAATTAAACATAACTCGAATCGATGCAGGCAAAAACTATGAAAAAAGTAACAAAATAATACGAAAATGAAGAATTACGAAATCAAAATGGCTCATAAGAGGAACAAAACAAGGTCAAGACGTAGAACGAAACCCACTGGCACAAAACGAGGGGAAACGCAGACTAAGGAACTCCAGGTGAACACAATCGGTGATCTGGGAAGAAAATTGGACAGATGGCACACAGGGAAGTGCAAGAGACCTGAAACGAGAGGATTTACCTTTCAAAATAAAACAGGAAATGATAAGACAACCGTGGACACATGGACAAAAAAACAAAAAAGTGACAGCTTGGGGGGACGCTCTCGGCGGTCACCTGGAATCCCAAGCTGGGGATAAAACCATAGTATCTCTATTTCTAGTATTTTTTATTTATTTATTTATTTAATCAGGACAGTACTCATTAGTGAATAATCTGAAACGAGAGGATTTACCTTTCAAAATAAAACAGGAAATGACAAGACAACCGTGGAGACAGGACAAAAAAAAAAAAAAATGACCCGGCCTGGCCCCCGGTCACCCAACCTGGCAACCTGGAATCCCAAATTGAGGATAAAACTGTGTTATCCCTGCACACCGAGGTTCCCAAACACTCGTTTTTTCGTTGTTTTTTCCCTGGATCGGTGCATAAATCCAACCCGGAGGACGAAGCCACAGGTGGACGGGAAGAAAACGAGAACAGTGGGAAAGGAGGTTTTTTCCGGAAGATGGGTTCCAGCGGGAGCTCATATCAAAATAAGGAAAAAAAAAACAGTTCGACAAAGAGGAAGAAGAGTGTGAGAATAGGAAGATGGAAAGTGAAAAGAGATGACACAGCTATTGAGTAAGTCTGAGGGCCGACGGAGGTGAAGGAAAAAGAAACAACCGACCCTGGCTGATAAAAAGAGAGAGAGAGAGAGGAATGCGCACGGGGAGAGGCTGAAAAGAGCTCCTCAAAAACCAAAAACCAAGAGGGACGGAGAACTGAAGAGCAACGGGGGGGGGGGGGGGGAGAAAAACAAGATGACGGGGGACAGGAAGACTAACTGTAGCTGGAAAAAGGACGACATGAGGTTTAGGGGGAAAACAAGTCGTGGAGAAAAAAAAAGAGTGTTTTCCAGTCAAGGAGGCTCCAGTTTGCCAACCGCACGCTTTGCCGCGGATTCCTTTTTGCTTCCAGCATAACAGCGTCTTACGCAACCGCCCCACAGCAGCCCGGGGGGGGCGGGGGGGTAATGGCTCCCCAGAGAGCTGAAAATGTGTGTTTTCTGGGTGGAAGCCAGAGAGAAGCGCCCTATCAGTCCGTTAGCATCAGCGCATCCCGACAAACGCTGAAACTGGGCTGAAACTGGGCTTAAACTGGACTAAAACTAGGCTAAAACTGGGCAAAAACTTAACTAAAATGGGGCTAAAACTAGGCTTAAACGGGGCTAAAACTGGGCCAAAACTGGACTAAAACTGGACTAAAACTGAGCTAAAACTGGGCCAAAACTTACATAAAACTAGGCTAAAACTGGGCTGAAACTGGAATAAAACTGGGCTAAAACTGGGGTAAAACTGAACCAAAACTGGGCTAAAACTGGACCAAAACGGGGCAAAAATGGGCCAAAACTGGGCCAAAACTGAACTAACACTGGGCCAAAACTGCTGGACTAAAACTGGACAAAAACTGAGCCAAAACTGGGCTAAAACTGTACTAAAACTGAGCTAAAACTGGACCAAAACTGGGCCAAAACTTAACTAAAACTGGCCAAAACTGGACTAAAACTGGACCAAAACTGGGCCAAAACTGAACCAAAACAAAACTAAAACTGGCCACAAACAGAACATCTGTCCAGCCAATGCACGTGGGGGTCCCACGTGCATTGGCTGGAATCTCCCGAGTGGTCCTGCCGTCCCTATGGGAGACCCCAGTTCAACCTTTCTGCCCAAACGACTCACCAGAGACCCTTCCCGCGCCGTGCGCGTGGGCAAAAGCGGAACCAAAACTGGACTAAAGCTGGTCCAAAACTGAACCAAAACTGGGCTAAAACTGGACTAAAACTGAGCCAAAACTGGACTAAAACTGGACAAAAACTGAGCCAAAACTGAACTAAAACTGGGCCAAAACTGGACTAAACCTGGGCCAAAACTGAACTAAAACTGGGCTAAAACTGCAGATGTCTCAGCTTAAATATAACCTCCGCTACAGAATAAGCTCAACCCAGCTCGTTTCCGACGTCCACAAACAGAACATCTGTCCAGCTGCACGTGGGGGTCCTGAAGATGTGATTGGCTGGAATCTCCTGACTGGTCCTGCCGTCCCTATGGGAGACCCCGGTTCACACCTTCTGCCCAAACGACTGACACGAGACCCCGCTCCGCTTCGTGCACGTGGGCAAAAAAACTGGACTAAAGCTGGGCCAAAACTGGGCCAAAACTGAACTAACACTGGGCCAAAAGTGCTGGACTAAAACTGGACAAAAACTGAGCCAAAACTGGGCTAAAACTGAACCAAAACTGGGCTAAAACTGAACCAAAACTGAGCCTAAACTGGGCTAAATCTGGTCCGAAACGGAACCAAAACTGGGCCAAAACTGAACTAAAACAAAACTAAACTATCCACAAACTGAACATCTGTCCAGCTGCACGTGGGAGACCTGAAGATGGGAGGACCCCGGTTCACACCTTCTGCCCAAACAACTCAACCTAGGCCCTCCCCGCTCCGTGCACGTGCACGTGCACGTGCACCTGGGTGCCACGGCGGGCGTCTGGCGGCCGGCTGAGCAGAGCCAGAGCCCTTAGCTCTCTCTCAGCGTTGAACTTTGCTCCAGAGTGAGTTTAGGCACGAGGCCACGGCTCTCTGTTAAATAACGAACTCCGACTGAGGCATGCCGGGTGTTTGCGGGGCCGTTTTTGGCCGCAGGATCTTCCACCCTCTCAAAGAATCTTTTGTTTGTTAGCAGAGTCCCGCCCTTGGATTCGAATCGCTTGATAACATTAACGCTATTATTTCAAGATCTTTGGCAAGTTGGAGCTGTTAGAGAAGTTGTGTTTGGCCACAATGGCCCGTTTAAAGATTTATGGCAGGTATGTTTCTCATGGGTTGTTTCAGATGGAATTAGCACCATAACATTTAAAGAACCATTTTTATGTCAGTCAGCAGTCCATTAAATAAAAAGGTCTGTAATATCATTTACTCATTCATTAGCCGTGTCCAAACAGATGTAAAACCCCACTTCCAAAAAGGAAACTGCTTAAAATGGGATCGACTAATGTTTCATCCATGATGGAAAATAAAGAAAGATGACATTTTACCTTTTTTAGGAAACACAGATTGCCTTCATCAATCATTCATTTATAGGCTTTTCCAGCTTTGCTTTAATCATTGAAAAAAAAAAGTCTAAAACAGCTTAAAAAGTCTCCAGGAAAAACAAATCAGCATAAATTTTGCCCCGATGCACAAAAAGAAAGATTCAGTTTCATTTCTCAGAAACCGGAGTCAAAATCCAGTTAAAGAAGAAGTAAAAAGGTTGTCCTGACCCTCACAGACGGTGTTGGGGAAAGAAAAACACCAGAAA